CGTTCCCGATTTATATTACTATTCCTAAAATTCTTTGACGAATAATACGAAGCTTTAGAAGCAAACAAATTGTTCCTCCTAATTAGTGCCAGTAACTTCATTGACAGATATGATGTTCCTACGCATGAGCCAAACTCTCTGCCAACGCTTAAAACATCATTCACTTTTGCTGATTTAATGACACAAGCACGTTCTGTAGACGAATTCTTCAAAGCATTTCAACTTACAAATCTAGTAGCACATGCAAAAACGACTTGTCCAAGCCAAATGTAGAGCAGAGAATTCGCATCAGCGACCCCCACTTCGTCGGGTTGCAAGAAGCAGAACCACATAAACAAGGAAAGCAAATGGGGGAAACTGCCGCAGGATGAGAGGACAACTCAGACAGATACGAGACAACAGAGATTGAGAAAATGACTTGACTTTGGGTGAAGTAAAGCTAACCCGGACCCCATCTAGGGCGCATACTGTCATTCTTGATAGCACGACCTGAAGGACCGCACACAAAAGATAGTACATCAATGGATACACAATAACTTAACTCTCCAGTATTAGGCGATGTTTAGCATAAATGGCTATAGAAATGAGCAAAGCAAACACCGGCTATGAATGGCGTAGTGCACAGACCCAAAGCTGAGTCCCAAGGGTGACATTTATTGTGCTATAAATTTGTACAACTCCCGTACTAATCCAATGAATTAACTGATAGTGTCCGAAAAACACCTCTCAGTTCAGGTTTTGCTTGCTTTTCTCCTTCACTGCTTTGAAAGGAACATCTGAAGGACCGTACTAAACATGCAGTCAGATAAAAACCAGCAGAACACCTTATCCCAGAATGGCTTTAAATCCTTTTTCATGGCATAGGCATCCTCACCATCGGCGTAGTATTTCGGTTCGACATCATATGCCCTAAGTGATTTGCTAAAGGAATCTTAACCTACTGAAATCCTAGATTTTTTGTGTACAATGTAAGAGCAGCTCGATTACTTTTCCGGACATGCAAAGAAACGTATCTTGCTTGAAAATTCTCTACCATCGCCCGCGAAGCCAAATTCATCAGAGTCCTAGCCAAACCGAGGCGACGGTGTGAGCGTTTAACAGCCAGCGAGGTGATATGACCGTATGGCAAATCATCCGGATCCTCTTCCCTTAAAAATTGACTGGAATTTATTGGGATTACATTTTAGCCAATACGTAACCCACAATTTCACCATCGCTTTCTTCGGCAATGTATGAGAGCTGAGGCCACGAAAGTCCATGGTAAAAGTAATACTTCATGACATAATTCTCAGGCAGGCAATCTAGATTGCAATCTCGCATGCTGAGGAGATCTCCAGGCTAAAGATTTTCGACAGATAAAATAAACACTACCCTGGCATTCCGGATATTCATAGCTACTCGTCAACTCAGTGACACACGAATAGATAACTCAAACAATTTTAGTAACAGGACTGCAATGTAAAAAATATTAAAAAAGTGTTCAAAAATAGGTATTAGTAAGTTTTGATTCTCTGCAATTGACAAAGTAAGGGATAAACCGAATGTATACGAGCATTAAGTTAAATTCCTTCGTCGGGATTTGGGAAGGTATTTACTGCTAGCTTCACCAAAATTTAAACGATCATGTCTGGAGCTAATTTCGTACTCTAACGCCTAACTTAGACTTTAGATACGAAAAAAGAAAAACTCATGGATATATACTGCGCCACTATTAAAACATTGCAACTGTGATTTCCTTAGACTTCCCAAAGGGTGGAAGAAGGCAGTAAGTGTGGCAGGATACATGTATTCCGAAGACGACAGGACAAATGGGCCTGAGCGTGAGCCGAAGGCCAGCCCACATGTACAAGGAACAGACAGCCGAACATCAGGTAGTCACATAAGCAAAGCATCACACTGCCCCTCTCTTCTTTTTAGCGGCGTCCTCGGCGCTCCCCTTGGCATACCACCCGCACCAGCCATCACAACATATTCGATACTACTACAAGAAAGCACCCACGAACCAA